TCCAAGTAGGAGTCTCCTCTTCATTCATGTCCACATCCACAGACACACCATCCGCATCCACACTCATACCCGCCACCACACACTCGCTCTCAAAATACTCTTTTCGTGATATATAAATGACTTCTTCGAAATTCATGTTCAATGAAACACTAAACAAAACCTTTCGTCAGTTTCTTTCTTTCTTTCTTGTATTGGAGAAATAAGATGAATATGTCAGATTTTCTAAAATCGTTATGTAATCCGAGGAATCATTAATATATTGAGAACTATCATTTTCCATATCATCTTACAAAAAAGTTGTCTTAAATTCATGCTCATTGAAGTTTTATCTCCTTAGTTGATACTACGGGGAAGCCTATCATTGTTTGCCATTGCCTGTTTTTGAACAATGTCAACTACCTTCCATCACACAGAAATTGGTATCGATGCGTGTGCTCCATTTGAAATGGATTCCTTTTTAAAAATATTTTCTTTCTTTATTTGCCATCATTGTTCGTCTACTCTCTATATTGTGTATTCTACTGTTGCCATCAGCACTGTTTCTCAAGAAAGCGCTGGGTTGACAGAATTAAAAAAAACGAAAGAACGAGGGAGAAGGGTGTGGGTGTGGGTGTGGGTGTGAGTGTGGGGTGTGGGTGTGGGTGTGTGCGCGGGTATGGCTGCGGGTGGTAATATTGCCTCCACATCTACATCCTACCCACACTCAGACCCACACCCACACCCAATTACAACAAAAAAAATTTCTCCAAACGAAACGCCAATGGTTTTAATGTCGCCCTACGCAAAAATGAAAAAGTGTCTCAACGCCCATTAGCGACAGTTTGTCATTCATAAGACTTTCTCTAAAGCTAAAAATAAAGGCATATTCTAAAAGCTCTTGATGAATGCTACAACTCTAGCTGCAAAATTAATTTAAAAAAAAAGCAATGGAATAAAAAAAAATTGGTTTTCTTCTGACAGGTGGCATTAGAAGCTAGGTATTTAACACTGTTGCTATGATTTCTCGGAAACTAAAACACGTGGAAACTTGATTTCTTCAGAATTGAATGATCATCCTTAGACCAGTAAAATAAACAAAAATTATTAAAATCGATTGAACGGATCTCGACTTATAAGCATTTTTCTTTTCGGAACACAACGGTACAATGGGTGTGCTCTTCACTCATATACATCGAACTCGACTGGTGATAATAATCATCTCTTTTTATCTACTTATATCATGAGATATGAGGTTATTTTCATATGATTCGATAGAATTTTTCTAGCGCTTCAATATGGAATAAAAACATTGAAGAAGACATGATTGTCGAAATTTGATAGAAATAAAAAAGACTCAAAGATCACGTCTTGACAATAGTGTCTTTAGAATTCCTTTGAATGATTAGTTTTTTTTACTCAATATTTTTATATCATTTGAAGCAATTGAAATATTCTATCTAACCATATGAAAATAACCTTGTTGTTCATGAAATAAATTGATAAAACGAGTTGATTATCATCAACAGTCAGGTTTGATATACATGTAATGTTCATTGACTATTTCAATCGATCTATGTACCGCAGAAACAAGTACTATATGACTATTTCTACTAAGACTCATTTTCGAACACATCTCGTATGATAATTTTATATGGAAGAGATCAAGTTTCTGGAACGGGACAATGTCGAATTGTTATTAATCCTCTTCATTTTCAAATCGCAGAATGTTTATTACGAATCCCACCAATTTGAACGATGATCTGGCTATTCAGATTGGCAAGCTATATGTTGATACAAATAAAGAACAAAAATTACATCTTGAATCAGGTGTTAATAATATTCGGGATTTTCAAAAAAACAAGAATATGATGGTAAACATTTTGTACAAAGAGTGAATCTTCTAAAAGTCTTACTTCATTTCAAATGTTTAGAATTAAATGTTCTTCGAAATGAAGAACAAGCGGCACGGGAACGAGCACAAGCTGCATGGAAACTTTCACAAGCTGCACGAACGAATGCACGACTTGCAGAACGAAAGGTAGAAGAGCTCGAGAAAGCCGTGTCAGAAAAAGATAACAAATTGAAGAGAAAATATGAAGACGTTTGTGCTAGTTCATCGAAATGAGTTCAAAACATATTCGTCAAATTTTTCTTTTGTTATGTTTTTCTTTTTGTTGGTTTTCATTCACGATTCTTTTTGTAAGATCATTTCCATCTTTTTCTCTCTTCGTGATTGATATTCAGTCTTTATTCTTGTCTTTTTTTTGTCATGATTTTGTTCATATTCACTCTTCGACATGAATTTATATGATAATCAACATTCATGATCGAAAGCAATTCGCAGACATCTTCACTATTTCATTTGTTGACACTTACCATGAAGCGAAATTATGCAATACTTGGTTGAAATTTATTGAAAAACAGACTGACCTATCTATTTTGAAGAAAAGATAAATACAATCTGCTTGCACTCCACGTTTGCTTTTCAGCAATCGATTATTTTGTCTAGATTTGGAAAAATTAAAATTTTTTTTATTATTTGTGACTTGTGCCAAAAGAATTAATTTTAAGAAATGCAGATTTTAATTTGCCAACGCGTTTCATGTTCTTTACTGAAATATTAAAACACTCATCAGGGCTCTGCATTACATATTTAAACACAAGATAAAAAACAAAAAATATTGCGTAAAAACAAATAAAAACAACAAGACCACCAAGAAATCTATCAGAATATCTTGGAAAAAGAAGTAACCAATCCAAAATGTCTTTGTTAAAGTTTATCTATTCGATTATCTTTAGGATTCATATAAATTACTGAATGCTGAATGGATACAAAATGAAGAAAAACAACAGCAACTATTGTCCATTTCAGAAAATAAAAGCAGTGAGTGTTCTCTGAAGAAAGTGAAATAGGAATGATGAACAAAGCTGGGTTTTTCATTATTCAAGAGAGAAAATCCAGGATCATCGAAGTAAGTCGAACTCTTATTGAGCAGAAATTAATCAATTAAGAAAGTTCTTAATGGAAATGTTGCATATGAGATTTCATTATTTTCTTTTTAATTTTCACGCATAATATGGCGAATCTACAGAGAAAAATCTTCTCTTTTGATGTACATAAATCTCAACTCGAAAAGAGTTTCTCACTAGCGTCAAGCGCGACTTTTGCATCGGAACTAAAGATAAGGCGATTGTTCGATAATCATTTACATGTTAGACACAAAAAACTCGTTCTAATTTGATCCTTTGTATTCTGAATTTTCTTCCTGTCAAAATAATATATAAAAGTCGAGGTAATATTCAACGACAGAGAAGAATACTGTACATTCATCATGAACAGTTCTAGTTACGATGAATAAGTCACAGTTTTTCTCTGCTATATATCAATGCACTCTCGAATATTATAGATCATTTTGAGGAGAAGAAAATTCTGAATGCAAATGATCAATTAAAATTATTATTGAATAATCATTTATTTTTTAATATAATTCGATGGGCACAACGCGTTGAACCTTAGACAGAAATACTTCGTCAAGCAAAGTCAAAAGACAATGTTTGTTTCCAGTTTCAAAATGATCTGAGTCCATTAGTTCAGTATTTTTTTAGTTTCAAAAACTTCTTCTATTGACAATTTTCAATACCTAGTAGAACTTTCTAGTTATGTCTAGTATTTAGAGTTGTCAATATTTTACACGCTTTCGGCCAATATATGGATAGAGCACTATTATTGATATAGTGAGTGTTTGCTTTTGGTTTAGATCATGAGCAGGACATTTAAAGAAGAGCTTGACTAAAAAATTCAATATTGTTGTTATCTAATTGAAAGATTAGGGAATTGATTCAATCTAGTTTTGAGGACTCCAATCTGCAGCACCGAACTAAAAATTGAGATAGAGTTTCATTTAAATCGGAAGATCGTATGTTCTTTTTCTTAATATAAGTGTCTTTCTCCATGTAGATAATATCTATCGGAAGCGGGGATTATGAAAATTCAGGTAGCACTACCTTAGTCTATCGGTAAGAGAAGAAGAATTTCTTTTTATAAAATCGAAGACCTAAGATGTACTATAGCTACACTTGGAAGCTGTTTAATGTCTTTGAATCGATAGATTTCGCATAAAGGCACGCGAAAACTTCAGTAAGAGTTAATGCGGAATGCAAACATATTTTACTGATAAAAATGAATAGATTTGTCTTTTTCTCAGTATGAATTGTATCTAATCGAGCTTTTCTTATTCATTTCGATTTCTGATCTCCGGCTGCTTTGAAACTAAAAACAAACACTATCACTCAACTCTGCACAATGAATCGCCTCGATCTGAAACTTTTGTGAAGTTTTTGAAGACTATTTTTCTGAAACCAGAAGTCTTAGGGAAATCCTTGTGACTCTTGAATGAAAGTAACCATGAAATTGGAGTTTTTGTGAATCAAAAGAGGAAACTTCTTAACCAATTGACTATATTGGCGTCAAAACATGATAGAAAATGATTGTAGAACTTTGTTCTCGAGATCTTCACGAAGAACTTATCTGCTTGATCAATTGCTAACTAATCAGATTTCGACTTACTTCGATGATTCCGAATGTGTACTTGCTTGAATAGCGAAAAATCCTAGATATTTTCATCTTTTTTTCTCACAAACTATTCAAAAAGAAATACTGACATTTCTTTCGATATGAAAAATAATTTAACTATTGCAAGGGATGTTAGTTCAAAATACCCCGGAAAAATCGATGTATCCTCGCTCATCTAATAAGTATGACAACACATTCAGTTCAACTTAAACAAACATGTTTATTAACGATTGAAAATAAAAAAAACAGTTGTACAAACAGCTCAAAAAGAAAAAAAGAAATTAAACAAACAAATCAATTTTAACCATCTTCAAAATGATGTCTATGTACAAAAGCCTAGCAAGATAAACGATAGTAAAATTTACGAGCGATTACAGAATCTCATCTTCATATTTGTCGCATCTTAAAGAAAATATTTCAAATAATTGACTTCACTTTTTTTATGGTGAAATATTTGATTGTTGAAACCAATCAAAAATAAACCATTAAATTACACACAATTAATGAATATGATCATTTTTAAACAAAATACTGATTTGAAAAAAAATCTTGACATTATCAGAGGAAAAAGGAATTCTAAAATATGAATTTCAATCACCAGAGGTGATGGAGTCCAAAATGACCAAACACATGGTGATGTGATTTTCGAACGATCGCTAGATTCATCATTCCACGAGCAACTAGCCCATATTCGAATTCTTTAATAAAAATTGTCACTTCTCTAACATATTCATTGATTGTCTCACAATATGTTTGCTGATATGTAGAATAGATATCATTGTACTTTTTATCCTTCAAAAATTGATCCAATGTACTTAATACTTTTGCAATCAATAGTTTATCCTTTAATGCCTTCATATTTCGTGTAGTATACAGACCTGACATTTCACGTAATAGCTCAATAGAATAACTATTTAATATACTTTCCCATTCTTCAATGATTCTTTGATTTTGAAAACAGGAAAAAACTTGAGTCTATTTATCTTTTATTTCAGAAACTTCTTTTAAGAGACTTAATAGTTTTGAAGTCTTATCATATATCTCATGTATATTCCCATTTTCATATTGTTTAATAGCTGTAAAACATTGTATCACTTCATTTTGAACAGCATTACTAAACTCTTTTATGAACTCTTTCAATTGATTGATAACAAGAGTACAGTCATTTTTGTACAAGATATCTGTTCTTCTACAAATATTCAAATAACGAAACCCTTTTTCAGCTATACTAAGGTCCAAGATTGAATCCCGTTGCTTCTTCCACTTTTCTAAATCGAATGTATTTTTAATAATAGTAAATACATTATCTATCTCACTTCTATATCGAGTATTAATTTTTTCTATCTGTTGTCCTATATTCGGAACAATGTCTTCAATAACTCTCAGTTCATTGATTTCTGATAGCATATTATCTATACGCTCGATTTGATCATAATTATCAAGATTTGAAACTGTTTGCAAAACAGTTTTTTCCAAATCTTTTACATGTTTAAGAATTTGTTCCTTAATATTATTGATTACATCTGCATAGACTTCAAGTCGATATTCTTCTATCCATTTTGCATGTTTTAAAGTTGAAAGAGATTTCATGAGACCACTATAATTATTTTTTTCATTTCGATAAAATCCATTTAATACTTCTTCAATTTCTTTTCTTAATTCTCTTATACATCCACATATTTGTTCTAATATACTATAATAAGATTGATTAGTTCTTGATTCAATAACAGATATTGTTCTGATGGAAGTAATCTCTTTGAATAATTGTTCTATTTCACGAAATGAACATTGACCTCTAAGTTCCGTCATGATTTTTTCATTAATCCATTCATAATGATTCATAATTTTTATTAAAAAATCTTCATAAATTTGATTAATATCCTCTTTTGAAATATGGGATTGCAAAGTCAGTGTACTAATAGCTGTTTCAAACATACGTATACATTCTTTTAAACTTTCGATAGTCTCATTTCCATATTTTTCTTGAGAAAGTATATAATTTAGTTTTGAAACTGAATCTGTGAATACTTCAAGAAAATATCTTTTTAATTCACAATATATTGTTGTCATATATTCACGATTTAAATGTTGTTCTAAAACAATACATGCATCATATAATTTTGTTATGTCTCTAGTAATGTTAGGAAAATTTTTTTCGAACAGTGAAGTTTTGTAAGATTTGACTACTAACTCGTACTTTTCGGAAAAACGTTGACAAGCATCTTTATATTTAACATTGATATCTGAAAAATACATAGTAAGAACTTTTATTTTATCTAAACTAATTTTTACTGATAAATCATCAATATCTTTTTCTAGTAAAGATTTGATTATAATGTCTACTTGTTGATCTAGATATACAATCAATGCACTACTGTGAACAACTTCCTTTCGTAAATAATCATTCCTTAATTTATCTGCAAGTTTATCATGATTAATACATGTTCGATATTGTTCAATATCGTCGATACTTAAAACTGTTTGATTGTTTAAACAACGATTTAATATTGAAATACCGCTTTGATATTCTTCAGAGAGATGTCTACTTATATATCGAACACACTCATCATAAATTTGTCCAATATAATCTTGTCCAAGTAAATTATTTAATTGCTTCAATTGAGCAAGTTTATATTGTACAAAGGAATATTCAGAACGTTTAGTTGCTGACATAATACTTAATTGATGTTTTCTTACTTGCTCCTGTACAATAGTTTTTGATCTTTCTATGATATAAAATTGAAAAACTTCATCTGGATAAAAAATAGAAGCAGATTCTGCGAGTTCATCAAGAATTTCTCCTGGTTGATTATTGATTGGATCTAATACTCGTACTGATCTTCTTGTTTTCTGTAACATATCTTTTAAAAAAGTCATGAAACTAACATTTGATTTTTCTTCTTCCCTCAATTCATCATAGATATCTCTTAATAATGGATGAATTGTTCCTTTTTCTTCATCTGGAAATTTCGTAAATATAAAGGAGAAAGCTTTAATATTATCTTTAATTTCTGGAATCAGTCGAACAATTACACTAGCCAGCTCTTTTACATCGCGAAATTGATTACCAATACTCTTATAACTAATTAATACAACTGGTTTTACACTTTTACATTCTTTAACTGCTCTAGCAATACCTATTGCATTAGCTATATCGACTTCTGCTCCAATAGTATTTGCGAATCCTAGGGTATCACATAGAGTTATAGCACCATCAGTATCTCCACCAACATCTCTTATATTCACTGTAACAGGAGTAAAATATAGGGTTTCAGATTGAGCAAACGGTGAAGTTTTTATTGTTTTTAGATGAGGGTTTTTTATACTAATAGGAGTAATATGATTCAACCCGTTCACTTTTACATATTTCATTTGGCAACCCCCAAGAAAATGAATAATAGTTGATTTACCTGTCCCAGCTTCTCCGAAGAAAAGAATAATATTTTTGTCTTTTATTAAATGTGCTGCATCATCAACTTTCTTAGTGAGCCTAAATAATTCCTGCATATTTAACGGACTAATCGGTTTGAATAATATTTTCATTGTTGTCAAAGCAACCTGTCAATTTTTATCTTTCAATTTGATCGAACATGTATCTACTAAATTTTGAACTTCTATGGACTGTAATTCTTCTATTTTTAATCGCTTCTTTAAATATGTAAGCTGCTGTGCTATCTCTGTTTCTATCTGACTGGGTATTACCATACTATCATCGACTTCTACAACACGATCGGCTAACTTCAACGACAATAAATATAGTAAATTGATGATGAATCTTTCTGAACAAGGCGGCATCGAGCAAAAGTCATTATACGTGTTTCTTAGATTTTTTTGTGTTACTGATGTAGTTGGTGTTAAAAAATTTACGTCTTCTTCGATCAAAACGCTACTTGCATTACGATCATCGAATGTTCGACCATATGAATGTCTCATACCTGTATCTTTTTCATCTGTAAGTTGAACTTCTTCAGCGGCTTTTAATAAATTTTCAATAGTCATATTTGCACTTTATCTTGGATCGCGATGTTTTTCAACATAAGTTCAACGCAACATAGCATCTGAGTAAATTTCAGCGAATTCATTTCCTAATCTTTCGAGGAAAAAGTCAGAATATTCCACTGGATCCATAAATTGGGTCAATTCAATCTCTTGATCTGTTTTAAATTTTAACAAGATTCCAGCCCAGTGGAAACTTGCCATATTATAAGGAATCAATATAATACGTTGTCCGTTGCCTTTTCCTCTTGCTTCAATCAAGCGTTCTTTCCATTCATTCGGCACATTGTCATGAGCATCTTTAAGTACATAAATTGATTTTGGAAAACGTTCAGGAAACTTCTGTTGTAACTCTTCCAATCGAGTTGACAAAATAAGATCAATATCCATGTTCTGATCCAGTGAGCTTTCAAACGCTGTTGAATCTTTCATTGTTTAAGAATTTTGTTTCTCATTGGAAAAGGCTTGTCTTTTCGGCGACTCCAATACACAAAACGTTCAGAAATAATAAACGTTTCAAGAAGATCTAAAATAGACTAGCATATTGTTTACTATTCGACAAGTAGATAAGTCTTTTTTTCCATTTAGTGTTTTAACAATTTATACATAGGTTAAGCACTTATGTAAAACAGGGAATAATAAAACTATATATACTTGATGTATGTACTAATTATTGAATACTTATTAATTCAGTGCTGGATTAAATTTTTCAAAAACAAGTCAAGAACGGCGAGAAATATGATATTAGCAAAATAAATAGTGAAAATATTTTCAGTCGGTATGACGTTTCTTATGCTGTCAAATACTTTTTTTCACCCATTAAATGTAAGTTTTCATTTTTACATATTCTCAAGCATCTTTTAATTTCAGAGAGTACCTTAATGTCTGGATACTCATCTAATGGTAGAATTGATATTGTTATACATCATACCAAAGGAAATCCAACCTACTTTCTTTCGATATTGCTTTAGAAAAACTATTGTATCAGTACTTTCATGCTAACAGCGAAGCGTTCAGTACGTGAGATATTACTGCATAGGAGTCTTGAGGCAGTGTTGTAATGCTAGTATGAAAGGATCTGGGTGTGCTCTCTGAGGTTGGTACGTGGATGTTCAGATGGCTGTGTATTTCGGTGTGAGTTGTGAGGGAAGAAGAGATCCACAATGGCATGTTCTCTCAAACCAGGGATGTGGGTGTGGGTGTGAGTGTTCTTCTTTTGCACACTCACATTCATGCACACCCACACCCACACACCCACACCCACCCGCACCCACACCCCACACCCACATCCGCACGCACACCCACACCCACCCACATCTCACACCAACACCCACACCCCACACCAACACCCACACCACACCCATCGTAATCAAAACATCGATATGTCTTTCTTTCTATGTAACGTACTTGCAAGAAAATAAACTAAGTCGAAAATGAAGGTGGCGTTGACTATTTTTATTTCTATTTATAGGGCTTACCTGTTTGAAAAAAGAATGTGATATTCTTTGAGAAAAAATAACGTTACTGGTATAAAACCCATAAAAACAAACAGTAGATAAGAGAAAGAGAACCTGCTAGCGTTCTCCAAGCATAATTTACCGTTAGAACAAAAAGCAATTCAATGTGAGTTTTCTTCGATTAGTACATTTTATATTTGGCAACAGATTCGATTGCCAGGAAAGAGTGTGGGTACAGGTGGACGGGTGTCGGTTTGGGTGGATGTGGGAGTGTGGAGGTCGGGGCGTATGGGTGTGCATGTGGACGTGGGCGAGTGGGTCTGGGCGTGGTCGTGGGTGTGTGGGTCTGGATGTGGGTGTGGGCGTGGGTGTGTGAATCTGGGTGCGGGTGTGGGTGTGAGTGTTCTTCTTTTGCACACTCACATTCAGGAGTGGGTGTGGGTGTGGGTGGATGTGGGTGTGAGTGTGGGTACATGTGTCAGTCTTCTTTAAACACACCTACACCCCAATCACACCCACACCCCACTCACATCCACACCCACACCCACACTCACACACCCACACCCTGAAGAAAAAAACGAATTGGTTCTCTAAATTTATTAGAAAAAAGAGTAAGTTGTCATGTATTTGTCGTCGGTTTTTACGATAGGAAATACACTAGCGATAATATCATAGAGAATGTTTACGGGAACTGCGCTTAACAACATTGGCTTAGTTATTTTTGTTCGTCACATTGGTTGAGTCTGCTTGCTCTGCTGCAGATTTGGATGCGCTAGGTTTTGTCATAGTGGTAGTCGCCACAGCACCACCAGCAGCAGCAGCACCAAGTATAACTGCACGTACTACTGTTTTACTCGCAAATCGAAGCATGATTCAGTTATTACAAAATAACAAGAGAAATATCGTGTTAAATTGCTGAAATCGTAGAATTATGTTAGCTTCTAAAAGATCAACTGAAAGATGATAAAACGACATGGAATGGGTTTGTTTCATGCTAAAATAATGGGACTTTTACTCTATAAAATTAGTAGCATATTTTTTCAGTTGGCGACAAGAAGATTGATTGGGCTAATGTTGAAAGAGTTGGCTGTATTAATAAACTGAAGTATTAACTCAACACTACCCTCGGCAATGATGTTTATTAAACTCATTTATGGCTCGAAAAAAAGAGAGATCATACATAAAAAAATGATAAAAGAAAGAGAATGGAACAAATGATTTGATGACTGGCGTCATAAAAGAGTAATAAAGAAGATAGAGATATAGAAGAAAAAAATAATTGTGAAACAATAGAAAATGTATTTTAGTTAAGTAGAGATACGAGGCGAAAAACTACTCAATTCAATGCCTGTTACAATATCAGTCATGTCGTTGGTTTAGCAAAAGTTACACAAGTATGCATCATAGGATACTTATGATAAAAAAAATATAAGGTGTGTGTTTCTGATATTCTTCCTCCGTCCTTCCCACAAGAAAAAACAAAACTGTCGTGTTACAAATATGAATATAACCTAGAGCAAACAAGGGTCTATTTTAACACTGAAAAAATGGCAAAAAATGATTTTTCTTTTCACAAGAAAAAAAACGTTTTAAGGCACTCATTGGCATTAGATTCGGTATGTGAGCTGAAAAAAAAAAATTTCTTTCGTAAACGTTAAAAGCGCACATTATTACGCGTAGAAACGCATTTTTTCGAGTTTGTCTGACTGGCAAGAAAGACAAAATAACGCATGTTTGCAAGGCTCACGCTGGAATAAAATGCGCCGCATTTATATTGTAAAATTTTCTCTCGTAGATGGGCTGAAAAGGTTGTTGCCTTCTTTTTCTATGACAGAAACGCGTTTCAACATTAGATTTATTCGCTGTTGTATGCTTGTAATTACTTTAACGCGTATGAATCACGTTTCATTTTCAACTAAATAGCAACCGTCGAACGCGTTTAAACGCAGTTCACGATCAGATAAAACAGTTTTTGTAGTCAAACGCGGTTCGAAAGTAATTCTTGTTGAGATGCGATGGCTGATAAAATCGCATCCAGACATGCTCAATTCAATATTCCAAATTTCAAAACCATATTAAAACCTTCTCAGGTCTGATTACAATCGCCATCGATGGTTTTTATATAATTATAGACCAAAGAAGAATTAAAATTTTGGTGTTTTTCAAATGAAATTAGAACAGGTAAACTAAGGGCTGCTCCAAAAGTTTCGACTCTTTCAGTAAATCGATAATATTTACAACAAACCTATATGACGTTATTGATCGAAGTACGTCATTTTGCAGAGGAGGAAAAGAGCTATCATCTTGAAAAACAAAAATACTTCGAAATACCTAATGTATTACAACATTATGATCATTTTACTAATCTGAAGTGAAAATTCTTATGAGTGGATGTGGATGTAGGTGTCTTCTCCTGATGAACACACTTATCTACATCTACACCCGACACCCACACCCACATCCGACACCATCAAGAGCATACGCTATTTTTTAATAAATAATTGGTAGGCGAAACAGATTTATAACTTCGATAAGAAACAATAATTTATCTTCAAAATCTGTGGTCTTAATCAGTACTGAGTCCCTTACTATTGATATAAATTTGAGCCTGATCGGAGCAGGTTTAGTCAAGGTTTAGGATATATGAGTATAGTAGTACAGCAAAACTAGTAATATGAATAATCGTACATGTGTGCTCAGAAGGCATGAAAAACTAAACCCTTGTAGGGTATTTAATAGCTCATTGAGATCTATTGTTTAGCATATACTCGATCGAAAAGTGATTTGACAGTTAGGGATTTGCCCTCGTCACTTAAAACTATTGAACTGCGTGCAAATCTTCACAGAAACAAAGGGTCACAACTTGGATTTAATTAAGCGAATTTATTTGACAAAATACTTATCAATGGCATAAATAATCAAGTAATATGGATATCAAAGTCTTTCTTGATTAGCTAGTTTACGAACAAAATAATAGATTATTACGAAAATGCCGTTACGAATGTTCAGTGCAGATGGAGTGCATATAAACGTGGTAGATGATGAGACGGCAGATGATAGAAATCTTGGATCGTAGTTGGAGTGAGCTATTGTCGATCGAATAAAGCCGTTGTAAAAGCTCACACGAGTATATATTCCAGGCGCATCAAGTTTACCACTAGAGAGACTGAGAATAACATCGAGTTTTTTTACACATTCTTTATTTGCTCAGTGAACGGTCAAACTCAATGCATTTCATACGAGTGCTCGAGATATTACCTTTCCTTTCTGCCTTAGTCCTGTTAGCGTCCATGATGAATTACTTGGACGCTAAACGATGATTAAGATGCGCCTTCTAGTCTAATTGGCTTAGGACAACTGCCCGGATAGCAGGAGGTATGGGTTCGATTCCCATGAAGGTCATCTTTTTCATCGTTCTGTCACATAACATCAGTGACACTGCTTGCCTCTTTCGTTCTATACATATTAGAGCTAACAAGTCCGCATTCAGCTTCGATTTTTCGTCAAATCCTTACTACTTTGTGGTAGAAAAATTTCTTTAATGTACTGTCGGATCAATGCTCAAGTATCAATAAAATGTTTTCTAATATGAAAGCTTTTTTTCACTTCTGTCTTATCAAAGGCAGAAGATTCACGAATATACAAGGCAACAAAACAAGGTGCACATGACCAGAAGTGTCTTTTTAAAGATGTTTGAACTCATCAAACCTGTTTCCAAACCAACTCATCAGACGGGAACATCAAATCTGATGATTCATATCTATTTACTAACTCAAAAATAACAACGGCAAGTCTGTCCTAAAATTCTTCATATGATTTTACTTATTATTTTCTATTCGAACATACATCTCATTCCTTTTGTCTGAATCTAGACTACTATGCTAAAGCTCACGAGAAGTGTGAACATGTTTGTAGAATCTAAAAGACTGTATAGAGCCAACTACGAATAAAATGGTTTTCACTATTTGTTTAATAACAAAAAAAGCGTTTGAATCATAGGTAACGCTTGACGATGGAAACAGGATCATACATTAGTACCTCATGTCGATTGCGTATTCTACAATTAGCACAAGTAAAAGGCTAACAACATTTGTCTTTCAACTTCTTGTATGGCATTCAGTATTCCCGTTTTAGCTTTGCGTTACTGGCATCTATTCCTCAAACGACATGTTGCGTTTATGAACATCAACTTACCCTATATTACCGTATGAGGTGATGCCAATTACCTCCCAACGGCCATCAGCATTTCGAATCATGAGTGGTCCACCTAAAATGAGAAGTAGAAGAAGAAAATCGAAAGTAATTTCGATCAAATCGATTATCAATCAGTCAACCTGAGTCGCCTTGGCACGTATCACGACCACCTCCAAGTTCTCCTGCACAGATCTTTCTTGCTGGAAACAACTTCTCTTGTCTGCATTCCTGTATGCTTGCATCAAGTATCCTCAAAGTAACTTCTTTGAGTATTTCTGATGAGTCACCATCATAGGTAGTACATCCCCAGCCGATTGCAACTGCATCCCGATTCGGTAGCAGAGGATTATCAGACGGTAAACAAATCGTGCCGATGCGTGAATCGTTCGAAGGCAATGCAGAGCGAAGTGTTACAATGGCGATGTCATTGGCAAATGTATTTTTGTCGTACCAGGGATGAATCGTAATAGTCCTGGCAAGTACTCTATACTTGCTATCTTCACGATGATGAATACCAGCAAATACAGTTACATTCTGTGGATTTCCATCATCGATCATACAATGAGCAGCAGTAAGAACATGAAGCTGGCTAAGAAGTACTCCCCCACATTTGTACAAATCAGTGGAAAACTCTGTTTCTAATAAAACCATCCACGGATATGAATTACGAACTGCGTTCTGGCCACCAATAATACGCGCAACGCCATTGGCTACTGGACTTTTACCACAACTCCATATTGGCAATGTATCGGTTTCATTAAGAAACAACCAATTTCGTACAAAATTAAACATTGAGGGGTAATAATTGGTCCGATGCCGAAAGTAGAATTTCGGCTGTCGATAGAAGTGCTGCATGTCATCGTACATACCCGAATAGTGATGTGTTTCAGCATAGCTGCTGCCATGAACAAGAGCATTTTGTACAATAACGCACACAAACAAAACATGGACCATGTTCGACATGAAATTTTTGACTTGTCAGGTTACTGCTGTCCTTCCTCTTTAACTTCTGTTCACTTCGATCCCCTTGAACTGATCCTGAAAACACACGAAGACGGATTAAAGTTAGATAAATTTTCCACATTTTTAACGTGAGTTCCCTGATTCGAATTATAATGTAAATGACCTTCTATGTGCTCAAGATGAATTCCAAAATAAAAATGACAACAAAAATCACGCCAACACTTGTGCGTGACAAAAACAAAATTTATTTCAATTATAAAGTTAAAAATGAGATAGGACTTTCCTATAACTACGGCAGAAAAGCAGAAAAACAGAAAGAAAACTTATCTGAATCATAAATTTATCACTCAGACAGGACTTCCCTATAACTATGACAGAAAAGAGAAAAAAAAAATTTATCTCAATCATAAATTTATCGCTCAGATAGGACTTTCCTACAACTATGGCAGAAAGCAGAAAAACAGAT